GAACCCAGACTTGGGCTCCATGCTCAGCAGGGAGTTTGTTTCTCTCTGTCTCCTTCTGCTTCTCTCTAAATTAATTCTCTGTAATGACTTATATACTAGCCAAATAAAAGGGGAAAGCCACATTTTCATATCAGTAGATGTAGAAAAAAATTATTATCAGTAGATGTAGAGCTTTTAACACCAATTCAAAATATGAAATTAGTAGCAAATTAGGGATAGAAAGGAATTTCCTTAATGTAATTAAGTATCTGTAAAATATGTAAGTATGTAAGTATCTATGTAAAATATGTAAGTATCTGTAAAAAAGTATCTGTAAAATATACACAGGAAACCCTATAATTAATGGTGAACTTTTGGTAAAATTCTCTTTAAAGTCAGGAAAAAGAATGTTCACTTCCTTCAACATTGTACTGGAAATCCAACTCCAAGAAATAGATCAGGAAGCTATAAGAGGTATAAGGCCTGGAAAAGAAGAAACAAGGGATCCCTGGGTGGCTCAGCGGCTTGGCACCTGCCTTTGTCCCAGGCGCGATCCTGGAGTCCCAGGATCGAGTCCCACCTCAGGCTCCTGGCATGGAGCCTGCTTCTCCCTCCTCCTGTGTCTCTGACTCTCTCTCTATGTCTATCATGAATAAATAAATAAATCTTTAAAAAAAAAAGGAAAAGAAGAAACAAAGTTGTTACATTCTGATATCATTGTAAAAATGAAAAATCCAAGAAAACCTACAAATTACAAGTTCAATGAGGCTTCAGGATTGAGAATCAGTATTTAAAGTTAATGATTTCTATATATAAGCAACAACTTCTCAGAATAAAATAATAAAAAAATACTGCTTAGAATAGCAACAAAAATTTTACGGTGCCTAGGAACGAAACTCCAAAAACACAAGCAGATATTTATGAAGGATAGCATAAAGCTTTACTAAAGATCATAGTGAATGAATGAAGTGGTAAACCATATTCACGATCAGGACACAGTATTACACAGCTCTAACATCTTCCAGAATTAATGCATAAATTCAATTAACGAAATCTAATTCCCAGCATAAGTTTTTGTGTGTTTTTTTTTTTGAAAGTTGATAGGTCTATCTCAAAATTCACATGATAAATAAGTGACAAGAATGGCCTGAGTAATTCTGAAGAGGAGGTGGAAGTATAGGAATTAATTTACCAGATAACAAGACTGGATAAAGCTGGGGTAATAGAACAGGACCATAGGGGCAAGGATAGATCAACCAACTGCTGGGCTGGAATAGACATCCGATGTCGGACTCAGACTTATGTAGAAAGTTGGCAGATGACAAAGATGACGTAAAAGATAAGCAGGTAGGGGATCCCTGGGTGGCTCAGTGGTTTAGCACCTGCCTTCGGCTCAGGGCTTGATCCTGGAGACCCGGGATCAAATCCCACATCAGGCTCCCTGAATGGAGCCTGCCTCTCCCTCTGCCTGTGTCTCTGCCTCTCTCTTTGTCTCTGTCTCTCATAAATAAATAAATCTTTTTTTTAAAAAAAGATAAGCAGGTAAAGGATGAGTTATTCAGATGCAGGACAAATTAATTAGGACAATGAAAGTTAAAACAGCCATAATGTATCATTTAATGGTCATCAAATTATCACATATCTGACAATCTCAAGTAATGATTAAGGAAGGAATCATCTCCTACACAGCTGACAGGGATATTTATGGGTACAACTGCTTTGGAGAATAGTTATGTTCCATATAACCCAACAGTTACACCCCTAGACGTATATCCTAGAGAAAATATGGTAAATTCTTAAAAAGTGAAGATTGCATAAAATGTTTCTTGCAGAGTCATTGGTAATAATGGAAATGGAAAGTTGATTAACATAGGGATTAACCAATAAATTGTATATATGTATGCAACTATACACGGATACATCCATTAAGGTGGACCTATTTGGATTTCAAAAACCCAATGCTGATTGAAAAAAAAATGGAGGTACATAATGATATATGTTATTATCTATGTAAAATTCATAGGCACTCAGGATAATGATATATATATATTTTTATGGGTGCATACATATGAGGTAAATGCATTTTTAACATGGCCAGAAAGGATACACAACTAGTTGCCACTGGAAAGGGAAGTAGAGAATTTGGTTATTGAGAGATGTATACTACTGCACCTGTGATGTTTCCTTTTTTTGTTTTTAAGGTCAGGAACAGAATAAAATGTTAATATTTGTGAAATTTGGGTGTGGGCAAATCAGTCTTTGTTATATCACCCTCAATAATTTTCAAGTGTGTATGAACTATCTTATATAATAAATACAATACACTATGTGGGAGATCAAATCACAGCTGAAATTTTTTTTTAAGATTTTATTTATTCATGAAAGACACAGAAAGAGAGAGGCAGAGACACAGGTAGAGGGAGAAGCAGGCTCCTTGCAGGGAGCCTCATGTGGTACTGGGTCCCTGGACTCCAGGACTCCGGGACCATGCCCTGAGCCAAAGGCAGACGCTCAACTGCTGAGCCACCCAGGTGTCCAAAAACAACTGAAGTTTTAAGTGAAGAAATAGGATAACTCTAGGCAGGAAGAAGGGAACATAAGAAAATGTGGATTTTTTTTGGCACTGAGATTTGTGGTTTAAGCTTCACGCTTCACTTGGGAAAGTCTGTTGTCTATCAGATTTGGAAACTCTCCTTTTGATTGTTTTTGGTTGTTCCCAGAAGGCCCAAGGAACTTCTGGGTGCTTCCAAGTATGTTTGCATTTTTTAGCCTCGGGTCTGGCGCATGGATAAAGACTGGGGGGCTTGAGGGCCGTGGAAAGGAAGATAGAGTACTGACCTGAGTTGGAAGCAAGATGTCAGGTTTGATTTAGATTTAGCAAAAAATAAATTAATTAATTAATTAAAATAAAATACAGAGAAGGTGTTGAAAGACAATCACAAAAGGGCATGCCTGAAATAAATGCCTTTGAAGTGTATTCTCAGACAAATATTTCAGCATGTGACTATGTATTTTGTTTCCAGAAGGGCTTTGCATGACATTTTCCCCTTCATTTATTCATTCATTTATTTATTTTTGGAGAGAGAGAAGGGGCAGAGGGAAGAGGAATCTCCAGCCAACTCTCTGGAGCCCTAGGCAGGGCTGGATCTGAGGACCCTGAGATCTTGACCTGAGCTGAATTCAGGAGTTGAGACCCTTCACCAACTGAGCCACCCAGGGGCCTCTTATACTTCTTAAAAAAAAAAAAAAAAAAGTCCTAATAAAGTATGTGGAAGCAAAGGAAAACTTCCCAAAGTTGTATTTTCATAAAATACATGTTTCACATGTATATAAAAAGACCCTACAAAGCCATTGCTCAGGAAGTAATTTATTGCTTCACTTTAAGCATTGTTACCATTGCAAAAGCAGTTGCTCTGAAGAAAGATAGAAAAACACCATAAGTTTACATAGTACAGTAACAATAGCAATATCGATCATGTTAAGTAGAACTACTGGCCAGTGTCGTTTAAGCTCACTTTGTAATTTTTAATAATTTATGGAGTGAATGTGTGTCACCTTAAAGTAGCTGTGACATTTACAAATTCTTTCAAACACATTCATAAATACAGTAATAAAAATTCCTGAGCCCCCTTCTCTTATCTCAGTGTTCACCAACCTACATTCATGTGGTGTTTTATTTGATGTCTTTTAGCCTTTAAAAATTTTTTTTTATCATGTTCATAAAAATATCTGTGTTTCAAATCTGGTTGTCAGCCTAAGTTTTCATGTGAACCTGATCATAATAAAAGAAAAATGCTTGACACTTGGGCGGGCAGCAGAAGTTGAGGGGTGAGGTGGGGAAGGTGGGGGAGGCTGTAGATAAAAGAATTCCATTGTAGGTGTCGAGATCTCCAAAGTAGAATATGCTTTTCCAACATCGAGAATGGGTTCAGTCTCCCCTGTGTGGTCTGGAGGGACTCTTAGAGGTAAATGCAGCAGGAATCTGCTTCCCTGGCCAGTGGGGTCCCTTTTGGGGCCTCATCAATACCCCTATTTCCTATATTCCTGCCCAGTCCCACCCTGCCCCCACCCTGCAACATTTCAAGATTGCTATTAAATGGAAACTATATCTCTCAGTCCCTAAAAAAGAGGGAAGATTTCGAATGTATCAAACCTGATTAGTAAGTTGTAGGAAGTCTGGTGAGGTTAAGGTTTCAGATGTGATTCTGGCAAGAAGTGGCAAAAATAATTTGTTTTCTTTCAGGAACGTGCATACGATAATTCTGGAAAATTGGCTCCGTTGTTCTCCAGCTTGTCACTAACTATATGAATGCTGTGTCTGGTGACTGGCACTCCAAATTTTTTAGTTTAGAAGTAAAAGTGTGCTCAAGAGTTTAAGGCAAGTGGCACCCACATAAGCATGGGAGAGTCGGTGGTTCTTTGATGGAAGCCATTTGGAGCATGACACTCAGATAAGAAATTCCTTATTGCTCCTGATAGGAAAGAATTAGGGGGCAGAGAAGAATCTGTAAAGCAGACCCCCAACTATTTCCTAATTCTTAACACAAGCATGGACAGTTGGTAAAGGTTTCTAGATCTAGATTCATTAAAAAGCAAAGGTGATCATTTTACACATAATCCAATGGATTCTGTTAGAAACAATGTTAGCAATGTGGACGAATCATGCCATTCAAAAGAACTGCATTTTCAAAAATGGTTTGGTCTTTCCTTTATTTTACAACAGTTAAGCAAGCTCCTCTGGTTTGGTCTCCATGTTGCTCCTTCCATCTTTATTTTTAGCAGCTTCTCATGTGAAAGTGACAGGCGGGGGAGGTGGGGGGGTCTGGAGGGGAAGAAAGGAAAGTATGTTTCGCAATCATATGGAAGGAGGAAGATAAAGGAGGATAATTGTTTTGGTCCAACTTACCCCAACGATTTCCAGATTATAGATCCCTTAGCAGCAAAAATGCTTCAAGAAAATTGTTTCAGACATGCACATGTTATTCTGCTTATTTACATGTCAAATAAAAATAAAGGAAGGGTAGGCAAGGGAAACAAACATTTATTGAGCCAGGCACCGAACTGGGTATTGTCAGTAACATGAACAGAAATATAATGACCATATTATACTGGGATGTCCAAGATTTTGTTTGGCAAGCATTGGTTTTGGCGTGCAGTAAAAATGAGGACGTTATAACAATAGCAGTTAGCAGATTTCCCATACTACTGACGAAAATATAACGGTCCATGTTGTCCCCTCAAAATAAAAGGAGGCCAATGAATAAATCCATGGAAAAATGGAAAGTACAATGTGCAATAACCAAAGATTTACAGAATTAGAAATGCAAGATAAATCAGACATCTACAGTCCTCTAAAATTCTTTAAGGCTAAAAAGAAAAAAAGTACAATAAGTACATGTAGAAATGTATTTTTAAATTGAAACAAGACTATTTCTGATATATGGCTGGCTTTTCCCATACTGTAATATATTTGATGGCTAAAATCAAATAAGGGAAATATCTATTTCTAGGGGCGTTGTTGAAATCAAATAGTGAGAAATATTATCATGGCTTTGAGTGAACAACTTGAGGTGACTCATCATTAGGAAAAAAATCTACACTCTATGGTTTTGTTGGTTTTTTCATCTGGTGATTTACTAAGTATTCTTTCTGGCTTTTATTCTTCAGCCAGTTTTTATAAAATATAAAACTGGTTATTGAGAAAACCTAGCATAAACCTACAAAGTGGTGAATTAGAAGGTGTATTTTCATGTAAAAACAAGCAAACAAACAAAACCAATCCCCAGCAACTTATTATAACAATCACTTCTAATTTCCCACTTCATGTTGAAGAATTTTGCTTGTTATTTTCTAGGGAAAGAGAAAAAGCAGAGGTAGTGAAAGCTCTGAAAATGTGGAACCTTTTGCTACTACATAGTCTTTGCTTCAATATGGCTTTACAGAAGACACATCACACAACAGGCTGGTTCTAGATTGCTTTGGTTTCCACATGAGACTCTTATAAATTTGTTTAAAATGAATGAGCACAAAAGCAAGCCTCATGATACAACCAACACTCAAGAAGTTATCAAGAAGTCACATGAAGCAAAGCTGAAAGTTGACTTTCAAACAATGGTTGGATTGTACTCTAAACACTCAACACCCCAGATCAGCTGTACAATGGCATATGACACTACTTCTAGACAAAGGTTAAGAAAAAAAGTAATACATTCGCAGCCTCAACAGAAATAAATGATTACATTTTTTTCAGTTTTGTTTTACAGACATAGACACAATCATATTGAAATACACAAGAAGAGATTATAAGGAATTATATAATTATTTTCATTTATATCACATGATGAATCTCACAATACAAGGATAATATATTTCAATGCATCAAACAGTTTTGAACCACATAAAGCAATATAATATAAAATAACATAACAGTTGTTTTAAAGTTAGGAATGTCACATGGCCAGTATACATTAAATATGCCATTGAAAAACAGTCAAAGCATGAGACGTGATACCTTTCATTTCTAAACAATAAGCAGCTTCGGAGGAAGGACAGTAGGACAAGAAGGGGAGGTAGTTACTTTTGAAAATTCGAAACACCTTATCAGAGATTTTATAAAACAAATTATTTTTCAGAGGTATCTTTGCCCTACAGATTTTTGATTTCAGATAACATAATAACAAGATTTTTTTTTTCTCCAGGATTTGTGAAATTTGCATGGAAAAACTCAGACTGTATTTTGGTTTATCCAGCTGAAGCATAATTTAAACATAACTAGTAAAGGCTATTTTTGATATTACCACTTCACTAGCCAAAGATTTTATGGTGGTTGTTATTTTATTTAATCAGGAGCAGATAAAAAGTTGATAGAAGTTAATAGAATACGATTGGCTAAGGGTCTCTCTATTCATTGACCACAGTCACATAAACAGGATATGTTTTCTATTTTACACGTCTCGGTGCCTTTTGACTTGAGATTAGAGCATAAATCAAAGGAATGGAGGCGGATATGACAATGACGGGCATATGGTGTTGTGAGTTATGTACATCTCTTAGCCATAAGCTCAGAACACTGAATAGTTTACAGATTCACTTTGTCCAATACAATTTGGGTTTAGCAGGCTACTGTTGGCATTTTGTGGAATCCTGAGATGCCCAAACCTCTGGAAATGTCCTATTTTCTACATCTTTTTTTTTTTTCCCCTGTTCATTGAAAGGGATACCATGATGATCTCAGATCTCAAATCACCTTATGGAAATACACAAGCCTAGGGAGAGAATTCCTATATGATTGGTCAGTAATATATCTGGTAATCATGGAGTAACCCCAGGCCATAATTATAAATGGAACTTCTGGTTAGAACATAGGTTCTCAGGCAATCATTTTGTATTGTTGATTTCTCCTTAAGACTTCCGGAACTGAGTCATCCACGTAGCTTGGATTTGTTAATGGCCTTTGAATTAATTAATTAATGAATTGATCTGGAATTTCTAAGCATGCAAATCTCTAAATGAGGTGACTAGTGACTCTCAACCTTCACCGTGATATCTGTGTGGCTGATTTAACATGTGACTTAGTCCTTTGCAGGGCCAAGGCCATTGTTTATGAACTTAGTTTCCTGCGGAACCTATGGTTGCTAGTGTACAAAATTAACTCTCAGGAAAAATACAGGCTCTAGAGCAGAAGAACAAAAAGCCTCTAAGTATGGATAGTTAAGAAGAAAAAAAGCCAGGATGTTAAAGCAAATCAATCTGATATAGACCAATAGATGTCCATGTTTCTCTTAAACGTTTTAACCCGGTGCAGTATCAGGGTGATGGCATGTCAAATACTTTCCTGCATTGCACCTGGGCCTTTGAAACCTTGGATCTTACTTGATCATGAGAATCAAGGACAGTTAGAGCTGGCGGGGGTTTACTAACATTTTAGGCCAAACTACTTATTTAACAGGTCAGAAAATTGGTGGCTAGAGTTTAAAGGACTTGTGTAAAGTCGCATAGTCTGTTGAGTGGCAGCCATGTGACCTAGACCTGCAAATTGGGTGTTCAGCCCACTACTCCAGCAATACTATTGTACTTGAGCCGAAAGGGCAGAACAAGAAATTTGTTCATTGAAGTACACATGAGGCTTTCATCAATGGCAAATCTATGTTAGCATCACTGGGGGTGGTAATCCAGAGACATTTACATGTTTCTGTATGTGTGCAAGGTTCCACTGTGCATGCATTGTCCTTTTCCGGCCCAGGTATGCAATTCAAAGGCATTCAAAAGCATATGTTTTTAAAGTGAAGAGTCTCGAATCACAGGGTGGCAGGCATATCCCTGAATCCTAGTCAGAGTCAATTTCTTATCAGACAAAATAAGTTATCATTCACATCAGCTTTATGGTAATTCAATTAAGCAATAAATTAAAAAATCCACTGAACAGTTGCTGGTTGGACCTTAGACCATTTTGTCATTCCCTTTCTGGTTTCTCCATTCATTTACATAAGACAAGTAAAATTTACTTTCTAATCGATACACTTTTCTTGAAAAAACAAAACTTTTTTTTTTTATAAAAGTAAAGAAAGGCACTTTGTAAAATATGTACAAATCTGTTTCTTTCTTGTCTACACTAAGGAGATAGAGAAGTTACTAAAGGCAGGGCCAAGTCTTTCTGCAAGTGACTGCAACAGTGGAGAATCTCAAGAAAGAGCTGGATTTCCTCCACAGCCAAACTGCATCCTGGAGCTCATGAACTCATTGGATTCTCCGATTCAGTTGGGCTCTACAGGACAAGAGGTCAAACTCCTCGATCTCATATAGGTGGTAAGGAATTGACCCACTTTGGACCAAACCAGCGAAAGCAAGTTTTTGGTACATACCCGCCTACCAGGATTGGTCTTAGGCACTTAGGAGAATGGACATTCTGTTAAATGTCAGGGACGTAGCTGATAATAACTTGTGCTCACACTGAGGTGCCTTAAACCCGTTCATTAAAACTGACCAGAGAACATCTTGCAGGTTGGGTTATAAGCTTCCATAAATCACCCATTGGCTAGCCCATCTCCATGTGCTTTGTAACTTGAATATTCAGGTGTTTGTTTATAAAAACATGACTTTTTATAATTCAGAGCGTATGGCTCTTTAAACCAACGGTGCAATAATGGTTTATAATTCATCAAAAAGAAGGAAAAAAACAGAAGCTGCAGCCAGATACAAGAAAAGAGATTTGGGGCTGTTGGACTTAGCAAAAAGTAATCATGGCTTGATTCAGTAAAAGATTATTTTTCTAAAAATTAGAGCCTCCTTCAATATGTGTTTTTTAAGAAAATCTCATGCCTCTTCTCCTGACACATACTTGCATGTTATCTTAGACTCTGATCCCATACATATGTAATTTATGACATGCATGGGCAATATGTTAAGAATGACTGGAACTGATGATTTAAAAGAGAAATCAAAAAAGCATATCACTGGCGAGTAGTTGCCTATCTATGATGAAGGACAATTAATTTTTAGCTCACTTAAGATCAAAGCGCTGGGAAAATGATCTTTGCTGGAAAATATTCAGTGAGTCATGAAATCAAGGAGCCAGAGTTTGAAAGGATATTGGAGATGACATTTCCTCCCGAGGAAACTGAGGCCCAGGAAAGGCAACTGTTCTAAGAACCAAACGTTCTCTTTGAAACAGTATGTGAGAGGTCATCACTCACCTTTTCGTGGTGGTTTTACGAATATTCACCCAGGGAAGAGGAGAAGCCCCAGAGTAGCCCTAAATTATAGAAGTAATTTCTGGTCTGTGGAAAGCCCTAAAACTTCAGGCTGGCGACTGTTTACAGTGTCACAGAGATGAAAAGAATCAGATCACTTCATATTCCTCAATGGGCTTTGGGTTGCTATGGCATTTTACTCCACAAACAGGGACTGCATATACTATGATGTACTGCAAATACTCATTATAACCTCATAGCAGAAGATACCGTACCCGCTAAATACGTAAACAGCTGTACTGGGAAGATAGAAAATAGTCTTTTATTTTACCTAAGTGATAGAAAAATAGTCTTCAAAAATACATTGTGAAACTTACGGGCTTATATTAAAGTAGAATTCGTATGTACAGTAAGGCAGTATTTCCATTACCATCCTGCTGTGATTATCTTTTAAAATTAAAGTTGGTCTTTGGGGATTTTTTTTTAACCTAACTGAAGACTAGGGTGTATAATAAATTATCTCTTATGCTGAAATGAAACAGGAAAAGATTTTATAAGAATTTACCACATGGAGCTCATTTACCTATCATGTAAGAAAATTTCACTCTCCAAAATGGTTTTCTCTGGAGGCTTTAGAATAAATTACAATTTAGGGGGAAAAAATCCATGCTTAATAAATTAAAACCATTTTAAGAAAAAAAAACTGGAGGCATCATTTTGGCTTGCATATTGGCAATGCATCACTAAGGTGATAGGAACCCATGTAAACAATGTGTCGGGTAATCTGGAATGTATTCTTTCTTTAAGTGGGTTGTATTTGGCTAATCTGAATAAAATAAGAGAGGAATGTAAAGGTTAAGCAAAGGTTTTGCAAAGGTTTGTTGGTTTTCAAAAGCGGTTTTCATGGCCTTTTTCTCACATCTCTCATCTTCCTGTGGTAAGCAATGGTATTTCATTTCCTTCTGTCGCATACCAAACCATGAAAGCCCCTTCCAGAGGATATACCTGTTGGCACTGCCCCTCAAGAATGCTAAACAATGTGCTTTTATTTCATTGAACACAGAATTTTATAACTAATAGCAAAAAAAAAAAGTCAATCTACAAATCACAGGAAACAAAACAATTTGTTCTGGAATCAGCTGTTGGAGAAAGAGGCAGCTGATTGAAAATGGAGCATGAGGAGTGAACTACAGGCTGTATAGTGTCATTCTAACCCATTCTCGAGCATTCTCTAGTAGAGTGCATTTCCTGTACTCTGTAGTGTTACCTGAAAAAAAAAAATCACATTTTAACCAATCATTCCGTTACTCAAGGTATCACTGAAAGGAGTGCATAAAACACGTGGGATCCAGGTAATCCAACCCAGCCCGCTGGAGTCCACAGCCACTTGGTGCCGAGGTGAAGGAGGCCAGGTCTTCTTCAGCTTGATTCTGTTGATGGGACGGCGGAGCCTCCTTGGCTGGTTCTTCAAACGAAGCCAGGTTTTGAGCTCGCGGCTCCTGCACTAACACCAGGATGTTGTTATCCATCACCCTGGACACCTTAGCATACTCCTTACTGGCCTCGGGAGTACTGGGCTTCTCTGCCTGGCCGCTGTTCTCTTTCTGTTTTGGGAGCAACGACAATGCTCCATCTTTGTTGACCTTGTGAATCTCCACGTAATCCAAGGGCCTAACAGAGATCAAAGGGGTTTTCTCCTGGGGCAACAGCCATGGTGTGTCTTGGTCAGTCTTGGAATGGAAGCTTTCCACTTCCCTCTGCTCAGCTGCCTTTTCCTCCCCTCCAGTCTCAGTGGTTTTTGAAGATCTTAAAGCACGTGTGTCTGTTTTGTCCAGCAGAGTGGCTGATGGACCTGCCGTGCCCATGTTCAGCTTACACACATCAGCAATGCTGTGGTAAGAAGACCTGGGGCTGTGCTGGCTGGGGGGCTGTGGCAAAGGCCAGGTTGAAGATTTGAACCCGCCGGCAGCGAAGTAGGGGATTTTGCCTTCCGAACTTGTGCTCCGGGAGCCCCAAGTGTAGGTCACATTTGTTTGAGGGTTCTCTGGCTTCTCAACGCTCTTGGGAGTGTTAAATGCGGAGGGATCTGCCCGGGCTTCCTCACACTTTTTAGACAGAAGGGAAGGGCTGTCGCAGCTGCCCCGGCCAGAGTCGCTGTCTGGATCCAAGGGGGTGGGCTTCCTCTCTTGCCCTGGATGTTCTTTTGGATGTGCTGGCATCAGCTGCTGGTCCTCACTGTCATCCACTTCTAAAAACTCCACCAGCAAGTCCTCACAGTCAGAAGTGGGAGGGAAGTCTTGGCACCCCAGTGCGCTCAGTAGTTCTTCAGATTTACCCTTCTAGTAAAACACAGACACAAGGAGAGAGGGCCGTCAGCTTCCTAATGTTCCCTGTCGGCATCATGGCCAAGCCCGTGGTCTTGCCTATGGGCAAATGGGATGTGCTGGTGGCCTAGCAAAATTTCCTGAATGTCAAAGTTTGTGGACCAGGCTGTCTATGATCAGCTCCTGGACGGTTACTCATCTCATATTTTTCTTTCAGTCAAATCATGATTTTGACTTCGTGTCTCTCTAAGCAATAATGATTATGAGTTTAATGGGCAAGTACATGCACATATAATCAACACGTACCTATTAGCTAAAATGTTTGTGAGATATCAAAACCGCGGTGCTCATGCCTCCATTTGGTGCTTTGTGACCCACTGGCCATGAGACCTGGGCACTAGCCTCCTAACCAACTCTACCGCCTTCTGGAGTCTGGCAGTGGTAAGCAGAGTCTTGCCTCTTCCTTCTCTCTCAACTCCTCCTCTTTTTACTTCTTCCTCTTCCCTTCTTTCTACCCCTCCCTCCTCCTCCTCCCCTACTCTTTCCTTTCCTTCTGCTCCACTTCCGGTCCCTTCTTTGCCCCCACCTCCTCCCTGTCCCAGTTTCTTCCCTCTCATCCTCTCTGTTCTCCTTCTTAAGTCCTCCTGCCTCCTGCCTCCTGTTTTTCACTCTTCTTTCTGATCCCTTGACTTAGGTCAGGTACTGGTACCCAAATCTTGACTCTATCGCTCATTAAATGGTTCCGACTTTGGACAAGCCGCTCTATGGTCCTCACTTTCCCCATCTGTAAAATGGGAATAATAGGGCTCTTTTGAAGATGAGAGGTAATGTGATTAAGAATATACAAGCTTTGGGACGGCTGGGTGGCTCAGTGGTTGAGTACCTGCCTTTGGTTCAGGGCGTGATACCAGAACTTGGGATCGAGTTCCAACATCAGACTCTGCAGAGAGCCTGCTTCTCCCTCTGCCTGTGTCTCTGACTCCTACTCTGTATCTCTCTCATGAATAAACAAATAAATAAATCTTTAAAAAATAAGAAGATACAAACTTTGTGTGTGTATGTGACACAAACAGTAGTTATTTATTTTTTAAAGATTTTATTTATTTATTCATGAGAGATACAGAGAGAGAGGCAGAGACATAGGCAAAGGGAGAAGCAGGCTCCATGCAGGGAGCCCGACGTGGGACTCAATTCCAGGTCTACAGGATCAGGCCCTGGGATGAAGGTGGCGCTAAACCGCTGGGCCACTGGGGCTGCCCCAGTAGTTATTTTATTATTAAGTCCTTGTGGCTACAAGGTCAAATTTTGAGCTAGACAGTAGTTAACTAACTTAGTTGAGATGTTCATGCTGGTTCTATGAAGGTCAGTACTAGAGACTAGATAGTGGGATAAGAGCACTGGACCAGGAGCCTAAATTCTGGGGCCCTAAATCCTGCTCTGATATTTTTGATCAAACTGAATGTAGTCAAGCCAATTCACTTTTCATATGCTTGTGTTGTTAGCCTCACAGTGTGTGGGTCAAGTGATGTGATGTGCCAGTCACTGCTTTTAGATACATCAGTGTGAAGCCCAAGTCAAATTGAAACTATATATTTCAATCTGGACAGAAATTTAAAATGTTCTAACCCCTCTTTATTCAAAACACTTGAATTTAAATCCCTCTTGAATCAGCCTAAGTAGGCCCTGGCAAACACTAGCCCCACTGTACTGATCCAGCCTCTACTGAGTGCTCAAAGTGAGCGACAACTAAAATAGGACGTTGCAATTATGTAAAGAACATTCGAGTGAAAACTTGAACTGAAGTATGACAAAGGAGGTGGTGGTGGGTCCCTGTTTTGTATCAATTAAAATATTCACCCTCTTTCTAAATTCATTGTTTGCAGAAAATGTTTATTTCTGTGCTAATGAACAGACCTGATAAATCTAGCCAAATCTTACTATGTTTTCATGTTTTCTTGGCTTTCTCTCCTTGCTCTCTGATGTTTAGTTTCTGAAGGCAAGAACCCTCGTGCCTCCACCTGTCTTTCTGTAAACACGCATGCTGAAGAGCAGGGATGAGCTGGGCAGGGCCTGAGTCAGCCAGGCTGGACTGATGGGAATTATGTGCGCATGTGTAAAGGTAATTATTACAAAGAAGTGAATCACACTGCATTCTCCACTTCTGCCACTTACCTCCAGCAGATGAGTATCAAATCCTTTTATTTTTGGCCCAGGAACTGGTGGAAGGATGCAGGTCACCATGCTATAAAATAATTTGTGAGAAAGAATAGATGACTCACCTTCTCACTTTGTAAGTTTTGAAAGATTAGTATTCTCTCCAAACACCTGCTACCTGGACTTTGGTAGATAGATATCCCGTGAGACTAACAATCAATGGTGAAGACAATTAATAATTTTAGGGGCCTACATCCTAATTAGCTCTGGCTCACAGAGGAGGCTGATACTGAAATGAATGGATTATTTGGACTACTTGCTTTTCTTGATTTGAGTTGCTCTTACGAGAGTTTTACTATTGCACAACCGGGAGCCTCAGTTTGATGGAAAGAGCACCAGCTTCAAAGGAGTCCATTCTGCGACTTTTGCTAGTACTGATAAAAGATTTTCTATGGGTGAACACATTGTAGCTATGGCTAAAGTGAAGTGTTTGACTTATCTGTAGGTTTCCGTCATTTTTGTATTATCTTTTTTGCTGCAATCCCTGACAACCATGATTGGGAGGAGGGGTGATAGACAGGGAAGTACCTATGGCCTTTCAAAGCCACTGCTACGACCATAATCAGACAGATGACAGCAGAAAGAACGGCCACAAAGATCCACACGATGGTATCTTTCATGGTGACATCTAAAAAGCAAACAGTCCGAAAGCTTTGATCACATCAAAGGATCATTAAAAACAAACAAGACTAATAAGCAAAAGTTATGAACAAAGGGTTTCCCCCCTTCCCTACACTTCTTTTGATTTGAATAGCAATCCAAAGAGAGTAGCATCAGTGACGAGTTTAATTTTTATTATTAAATTTTAATATGTTGTGTATATTTGACAATACCGTACAAATTTCAAAACCCTTTTATATATTATTTTATTTGATCCTTTAAGAGGAAATTCAAGGTCACAAGGTCCATTGCAGTAATAATAATAAAGGCCATCATGCGTGAAGTCCTTGCTAAAGCCATCAATGGCATTAAGGTCTCTACATATACTGCCTTGTATATAAAAATTAGGATACAGAGACTCAGAGAGTGATTTCCCCATGAACATGTAAACTATAAAGTTGCAGTTGGGATTTGAGTTCAGAACATCTGCCTTTAGACCTTGTGCATTTATTTATTTATTTATAAAAGATTTTAAAAATTTATTCATGAGACACACACACACACACACACACACACACAGAGAGAGAGAGAGAGAGAGAGAGAGAGAGTCAGAGACACAGGCAGAGAATCAGGCTCCCTGTGGAGACACCCTGGTGCGGGACTCAATTCCAGGACCCCGGGATCACGCCCTGAGCCAAAGGCAGACACCACTGAGCCACCCAGGTGTCCCTTGATTTTATTTATTTAATAAGATCCAGGGCTGAACTAGATGCCCATGTGGATTTCATGACCCACAGTTCAGTGCTCTTTCAATGCCGAGCCAACGCACACCCCCGTACTTTGGCCAGGTGAGTTGTCAGAGAGCTAGGCTTTGCTGTGTGGTTCTGGGTAAGACCTCTAACCTCAATGGGCTTCACTTTCCTCACTTTTGATTCCTAATGCTAACCCTATTCTCTCTGAATACCTGAGCGGGTTGAAAGGGCCAGACAAGGGAATAACTTTATAAACTCTAAAATACTTTAGAAATGCAAGAGGAACCATTCTCTCATGGAGTGCCAGCCGTCATATTTAATGGCACTTAGACTGGAGAGCCTATGATGCACTGTACCTTCACACAAGAACCAAGATGTAACCGACATCATGGACTGAAAACTGGTCCATGCCTTTCAGATGGCAGACCAACTTACAGATTTTTGGCACAACTAGATGATAACCTTGAGCAAATTAGAGGGATTAGGGCAGAATGAATGAGAAGCCCTCTGAGGCATGCCAAGCCCATGTTGGCAGCCTTATCTTGGAAACTGGCCCTCGCGGACAGTGATCCACTGTGCTACACTTCCAAGTGTCTTTGATTTGGATGGAGAGATGATAAAGTCACCTCTATTTATTCTTCGGGCCAACACTTCAGGTAGTTTCTCTGTTAGTAGTTACTACATCCAAACTTACTAAATTCATTTTGTTTTAAAAATATTTTGGAATATATACAAAAGGGGGCCAAGACACTCACCATTAGGTATCTGGATGGAGCTCTCTGGGCTCCACTCACTCCAGAATCCATGGTCTGGCTTGCAGCGAACCTGGACAAGGTATTTCTGTCCTGGATATAAGCTGAGAATCTTAAACTGAGTCTGCTGCCCAGCAAAATGAGTCTAGGGACAAACAAGGAAAATAGATGTCACTCTGACTTGTGTTATGTTTTTTTCATAGACCTTTCTCCTAGATAATAAGCTATTGGAGGACTGAAGCCAGCAGAATCGATTTTGTAGATAAATCTCTGTTCTCTCCATTCCACCCTCTTAGCCTATCTTTTCCTCCTTGCATTGCTCACACAAAAATTAACGGGTTTTCTATCTCTCCATTGGGAACTCCATCAACATCGAGTCAAATATTCTAGTAGTCCCTATCCTCTACCCCCTTCTAAATTCTACTTTATGGAAGAAAACCAAGTGAATACAATTGAAAAATGGTTATTTTGTCAACCCTAATGATTTTATAGATTCAAGGATTACCAATCGGTATAAAGCCCCTAGGTGAAAGAGAACTGGGCCTTCAAGTTTGTTGAAACAATAGCATACAAACAAAATAAAACTTTACAATTGAGAGATCAGTTTGTCACCTCTCTGATCTCAGAATCAGTCTTAGCATCATTTCTGGTGGGCTAACCAGAGGATTTCCGTCTCCTGGCATGATGCAACATGAGGCCCATAATATCACCTCTGAAGTACTCTTGTCAAAAACTGTTCAAATTGAATCTGATCAAATTTTTATTTTTTATTTTTTTTAAAAATTTTTTATTTATTTATTTATGATAGTCACAGAGAGAGAAAGAGAGAGAGGCAGAGACATAGGCAGAGGGAGAAGCAGGCTCCATGCACTGGGAGCCCGATGTGGGATTCGATGCCGGGTCTCCAGGATTGCGCCCTGGGTCAAAGGCAGGCGCCAAACCGCTGCGCCACCCAGGGATCCCTGATCAAATTTTTAGATCTAATTGTCTGGTTACATGAAATACAGGGGCAGAAAAATTAGCCAAATGACCTCACAGAGTACTCATCAGACAAAAGCAGAAGGTGGGACATTCTATGGGACAAGTGGCCCAGTCTCCTGAGCATGTTGAGACCAAAGCAATATAACAACTGGTCTTGGAGTGGACTCTGGTTTGATCAAACTAGCTGTTAAGGGTATTTTTCTTGAAGCAACTGGGGGAGTTGAAATATGGACTGGCCTTTAAATGTTATTAAGGAATTTTAATTAATTTTCTATGTGTGATCCTATTTTGGCTATCTTTGGAAATGTTCCCTTTTTTAAAAAAAATGCATTTTTATCATTGCTAATGGGCTTGAGAGTATCTTTTTTTTTAAAATTGAAGCATAATTAACATACAAGTGTTATATCAGTTTCAGGTGTACAATTGGTGATTCAACAATTCTATGTATAACTCAGTGCTCATCACAATAAGTGTAATCTTAATCTCTATTTCACCCATGTCCATCCCACCACCCTCTGGTAACCACCGTCTTGTTCTCTGTATTGAAGAGTCTTTTTGTTTGTCTCTTTGTTCATTTGTTTTGTTCCTTAAATTCCACATATGAGTGAAACCAAATGTTCCCTTCTTTTTTCTTTTTTTAAATTTTAAGTAGGTTCCACACCCAGTATGGGGCTAGAACTCACAACCCTGAGATTAAGAGTCACACACTCCACTGACCGAGCCAGCCAGGCACCCCTCAAATGTTCCCTTTTAAAAAGAGACATATACTAAAATATTTCAGAGTGGACTATTATAATGTCTATAATTTAATGTATTATCTCTTCTTTACATTGAAGTATTTGAAAGTGAATAAAATAGCATTGACCTTGGGCTGATTATGCTGAGATTTTTTTCTTCCTTACTTAGTGCCATGTAAGTACATTCACAAGTGTCTCAACCTAAGATAGGAGGAGGGAGAAGGGTTGGAGACCTGGTGGAAGAAGCTGATCAGGGCAAGAAGTTAGCTCTGTCAGAGTATGAGGATGAGCCCCCATCAATCCCAGTGGAAGGGAGGAGTCCCTTCCACATCTGGGTGGGTCCCATCAGCATCAAGAGGGCAACAGGGTCACCCAGTAATGAGGAGGAACGACTTGTTCTCAGCTGTGAGGGCTTCATCTGTGCCAAGGACTTGACCCTTTCCAAAAGCTTCTAGTTGACTCACCTCCCACTCAGTTGCTTTCTTGGGTTTTAACCGAATTTCATATTGGAGTGTGAGCCAACCAGATCTAACATCAACCAGGGTGGGTGGGTACCATTTCATCCACAGATAAGGCTTTTTGTCTTCTGGTTGTTTTAATTCCAAAGTTAGGTTCACAGGAGGGTCTGGTTCAACTGTAGATAGGAAAGAAATGCCATATTTAGTGCAAGTGGTATCTGAACACAGAACTATATGTGTTCTTAGAGGCAAGCTCTCTCTACTGTTTCACTCTGCCGTGGTTAGGAGACTCTGTATTTGACATCAGGTGTGAGTCAGCATAAGTGGGGTTAGGTTGAAGCAAACAAGATGCAAAATTTAAGAAGGCACAAATGGCCAACAAGCACAGGAAAGGTGCTCAAAAATCATTGGGAAATGCAAGTCAAAACCACAATGAGATACAATTTCCTACCCACTAGGATGGCTAGAATTCAAAAATGAAGAATAGCAAGTGTCGGTGAGAGCACTGGAGACACGGGAACCCTCATTCATTGCTGATGGGAAAATTAAGTGGTACAGCCACTGTAGAAAAAAAGTCTGGAAGTTACTTAGAAAGTTAAATACAGTATTACCATGTCACCCATCAATTTCGCTCCTATGTAGATCCCAAAGGAGTTGAAAGTAGTGCTCAACAAAAACTTGTCCCTGAGTGTTCATAGTACACCATTCACAGTAGCCAATAGGTGAAAACAACCCCAAAGTCCATTAACTGATGAATGAATAAATAATATTCATACCATAGAACACTATTCAGCCAGAAGAGGGAAGGAAGTACTAACACACACTAGATTCACATAGATGAATCTTGAAAGCATTATGCTAAGTGAAAGAAGCCAGATATAAAAGGCCACATAGTCTATAATTCTATATACTCGAATTATCCAGAATAACCAAATCTCTAGAGACAGAGATTAGAAAGCCGACTAATGGTTGTTCTAGGGCTGGGAAAAAGCAGGGAATCCAGAGTAACTGGTTAATGGGTATGAAGTTTCCATTTGGAGTGATGAAAATGTTCTGGAACTGGATAGTGATAACATTCACATTGCATAACAGTGTGAATGAAGTAATACCACTGGATTGCACATTGTAAGATGGGTAAAATGGTGAATTTTCTGTTATGTGTATTATGCCACACACACACACACACATTAAGGGGACATTAATTCTCCGGTTCCTTTACGTGCAGGTCTGTGAGGGCCTTCTGCAGAGTGCCTTGGGTACCAGCTTGTCTGCTTGTCTTACCCTAATTTCAGTCCTGCTGGTCAGTAATATCTTCTCTATTCATCTATTACCTCCTCAAATCAGTCCCCATGCCAGGCGGGAAGTGAACATAATTGTAGTGTATTCGGCATTATAACCTACGGTTGCCTTAAAAAGCAAACTTTAGGAAATTTGCCCCTAATCCTAATGCTTACATATTACTAAATAAATCCCTAAGAAAGATCATTTTATATGTACTTCCTAAACAAACATCATCTATTTACTGAGAAATGCCTCAAAAACTATTAGTACAAAACTGCCAGCAAAATGGTTAGAATGAATCCTTTAAAGCAAAGTTTCTCAACCTTAGCATCCTGTATTTTGGGCCAGACACTTCTTTGTTGGTGGGGTCGGGCGCTGTCCTGAGTACTGGGGGGTGCCTAGCAGCATTCTGCCGGCAGTAATCCCCCGGCCCTCCTCCCCAGCTGGTGATAATCAGAGATGTTTCCTGTCATTGCTAAATGTCCTGGGGGAGGCAACATAGGCCCTCGATGAGAATCACTGCTTTCTGGCTCAGAGGTTTAGCGCCTGCCTTCGGCCTAGGGTGTCATCCTGGAGACCTGGGGTCGAGTGCCACATCAGGCTCCCTGCATGGAGCCTGCTTCTCCCTCTGCCTGTGTCTCTGCCTCTCTCTCTCTCTCATGAATAAATAAATAAAAATCTTAAAAAAAAAAAAAGAATCACTGCTTTCAAGCACCTTCAACATTGCTAAATGTAATTCAATGGCAGTAGCAACAAGGACATAATCTATTTCAGAGATTATCTGCCAACGCTGTCATTCCGAGCTGCAGGTTGTCACTGGCTGAGCCTCGGGGTGAGAGCCCCGCACCCCGTGGGAGGCGGCCCGCGGGCGGAGGCAGGGGTCCCCGCTCCGGCCCCACAGACCCTCCCGCCCACGGATCCCGCCCGACATGCCGAGGGAACGGCCGGGGCTGCAGAGAGAAGGGTCTGCGCCTCTAACAAGGTAGGAAGGCGGAGAAAGAAAATAAAAAATAAATAAAACAAAACAGAATCCAGTGGGGGAGCGGCCGGGAGGAGCGGGGCTAAGGGGGGCGGCGGGAGGCTGGGGACAGGAGAGCCCCGACCCCCGGAGACACGGGGACTTTACAATCCGCCCCGGATCCTTCCCGACGCAAAGGCGCCCAGCAGGGAGCTCGGGCAGGACTGCAGGGGGGCGGCGGGGCCTCCAGGTTCCTGGGGTCACTAACAGGAGGGGCGCGGGGGGGTGCGGGGAGCGCGCTGCACCCCGCGGGCGGAGCTCGGTAATGGGCGGGAGCAGCTCAGGTGGCGGCTCCGGGGGAAGGGGCTGCGCCCTGCTGCCTTCGGGGCTCCTGGGAGCGCGATTCCAGGGGCGCAGGCCCGGATCCCAGGGCGCCGGGGGACACGATCCTGCGCTCCCTGGGGACAGGCGGGGAGGGCCCAGGACAGGGAGGACCCTTCTGCTGGGGCACCCCTGGGGGAGGCGGGGAGGGCCCAGGATTGGGAGGACCCTCCTGCTGGGGCACCCCTGGGGGAGGCGGGGAGGGCCCAGGACGGGGAGGACCCTCCTGCTGGGGCACCCCTGGGGGAGGCGGGGAGGGCCCAGGACGGGGAGGGCCCTCCTGCTGGGGCGCCCCCAGGGGAGGCGAGGAGAGCCCAAGACGGGGAGAACCCTCCTGCTGGGGAGCCCCCGGGGGAGGCGGGGAGGACCCAGGACGAGGAGGACCCTCCTGCTAGGCCCCCCAAGCTGTGCAGATCAGAGCCCTCGCCCTCCCCCCCCCACCGAGCATCCAGGCCAGTGCGGACTGGGAGACTGCAGGTGCTTACTGTAGGAGTGGACTCCAGGGCCGGAGAGCTGGCCGCCGCCAGTGTGGTTGTTCCTCCTGGTGCCACCCTGTGCCTGGGATAGAGCAGGGCCACCAGGGAACAGGGGCCTCACAGGATAAACAGCTCACACTGAGCTGTGCACCTGGCAGGGGCGGGGCAGCTCCCCCAGGTGCACACACCTGAGAATCAGCACAGCAGCCCCTCCCCCAGAAGACCAGCTGGAAGGACAGGAAGAGCAGGTTCTTGACCCAGAAGTGCTGGAAAGCTCCAGGGAAGTAAAGGGATTTACAGTATTTAGAACCAGAGGATACCCCTCCTACCCCATTTTTCCAGTACAAATCGTTTTTATATCAGACTAAACATTTCTGATATTTTTTTCTCTTTTCCCATCTTAACTACAATATTTTACCACCTCTTCATTTTTAAGATTCTTCCTTTTTGACTTTCATATTTCTATAATTACAGGTCCTAGATATATTTTCCACTTCTTGATTCCCTTCAACATATTCAATTTAATTTTGGGAGATATACGAGATATGTTTTTGTTTTGTATTTTTGGTTTTCTCTGCCTCATTTTGTTCTACAATGGTGGAAGTTAATACCTTCTAAAACATGACCAGCATGCACCCAGAACCAAGTAATATACCATGCTGGCTCATTCTGTGAGATTCCTCATTCCCATTCTGCCCCCTTCTTTTATCTCATTTATGTTTTGGTGGTTAATGTTGGGGCCCTCTGCAAGTATTTCTGATTTATATAAATTTGGGACTGAGCATTTTCTAATATACAGAACTTAATATACTCAGAAACAAGAGGATCACTTTGTCACCACCACCATCTCCCAGGCCCCCCCCCCTTTTTTCTTCTCTTTTTTCTCTTTACTTTTGCTTTTTTCTCTTCTTTTTTTTCTTTTTTCTCTTCTTCTTTGGGATTCTTGGCCTTTTAATTTTTACTACTTTGTTTTAAAATTAGTTTTTCATTTTAGCGGTCCTTTTGTTTTATTTCACTCTGATCTTTGTTTTCAATTTCTGGTCTCTGACCTCATCAGAATCCTCTAGGGTGAAATTTACTTAGGCCGTGGTTGATATTCTTGACACAGCCTGCTCATGCAGCCACACTGCACTGAGAAAAATGACTAGAAGGAAGAACTCACCACAAAAGAAAGAATCGGAAACAGTATTCTCTACCACAGAGTTACAGAATATGGATTACAATTTGATGTCAGAAAGCCAATTCCAAAGCACAATTATAAAGCTACTGGTGGCTCTGGAAAAAAGCATAAAGGATTCAAGAGACTTCATGACAGCAGAATTTAGATCTAATTAGGCAGAAATTAAAAATCAATTAAATGAGATGCAATCCAAACTGGAGGTCCTAACGACGAGAGTTAATGAGGTGGAAGAAAAAGTGAGTGACAGAAGACAAGTAGATGACAAGGAAGGAAGCTGAAGAAAAAAGAGAAAAACAATGAAAAGACCATGAGGAAAAGCTAAGGGAAATAACCTTAATAATAATAAATGACAGCCTCAGAAGGAAGAATTTACATATAATTGGGGTTCCAGAGAGCGCCAAGAGGGCCAGAGGGCCAGAAAATGTATTTGAACAAACCATAGCTGAGAACTTCCAATTTGGGGAGGGAAACAGGCATTCAGATCCAGGAGATAGAGAGATCACCCCCAAATCAATACAAACTTTTCAGCACCTCGACATTTAATAGTGAAATTTACAAATTCCAAAGATAAAGAGAAAATCCTTAAAGTAGCAAGAGACAAGCGATCCCTAACTTATATGGGAAGAAGTATTAGGTTAACAGCAGACCTCTCCACAGAGACCTGGCAGGCCAGAAAGGGCTGGCAGGATATATTCAGGGTCCTAAATGAGAAGAACATGCAGCCAAGGATACTTCATCCAGCAAGGCTCTCATTCAGAATAGAAGGAGAGATAAAGAGCTTCCAAGATAGGAAGAAACTGAAAGAATATGTGACCACCAAACCAGCTCTGCAAGAAATATTTAGGGGGACTCTGTAAAAGAAAGAGGAAGTCCAAAGAAATAATCCACAAAAACAGGGACTGAATAGGTATTATGATGGCACTAAATCCATATCTTTCAATAATTACTCTGAACGTGAATGGGCTCAATGATCCCATCAAAAGACGCAGGGTTTCAGAATGGATAAAAAAGCAAGACCCATCTATTTGCTGTCTACAAGAGACTCATTTTAGACCTAAGGACACCTACATCCTGAAAATGAAAGGTTGAATTTACCATTCAAATGGTCCTCAAAAGAAAGCAGGGGTAGCAATCCTCATCATATCAGATAAATTAAAGTTTATCCCAAAGAGTGTAGTAAGAGATGAAGAGGGACATTATATCATACTTAAAGGATCTATCCAACAAGAGGACCTAACAGTCATGAATATTTATGCCCCTAATGTGGGAGCTGCCAAGTATATCAATCAATTAATAACCAACGTTAAGACATACTTAGATAATAATACACTTATACTGGGAGACTTCAACACGGCGCTTTCTGTAAATGACAGATCTTCTAAGCACAACATCTCCAAAGAAATGAGAGCTTTAAATGATACACTTGACCAGATGGATTTCACAGATATTTACAGAACTTTACATCCAAACACAACTGAATACACATTCTTCTCAAGTGCACATGGAACTTTCTCCAGAATAGACCACATACTAGGTCACAGATCAGGTCTCAACCAATACCAAAAGATTATTTTCAGACCACAATGCTTTTTCAGAAACTAGAACTCAATCACAAGGAGACATTTGGAAGAAACTCAAACACATGGAGGTTAAAGAGCATCCTACTAAAAGATGAAAGGGTCAACCAGGAAGAATTAAAAAGATCCATGAATGAAATGTATCTAATGAAAATGAAGATACAACTGTTCAAAATCTTTGGGATACAGTAAAAGCAGTCCTGAGAGGGAAATACATCACAATACAAGCATCCCTAGAATAATTGGAAAAAACTCAAATACAGAAGCTAACCTCCCACCTAAAGGAACTGGAGAAAGAACAGCAAATAAAAGAAAACGTACCATGGTTAATACTCACTTTAAAAAAATAAACTTTAAGAGAATCCCAAGCTGGCTCCACACCCAGTGCAGAGCCAGATGTGGGGCTTGATCTCATGACCCTGAGATCATGACCTGAGCTGAAATCAAGAGTCAGACATTCAACTGACTGAGCCACCCAGGCTCCCAACACTGAGTTTTAAATGAACTTCTATGGCCTGTCACCAACACTGGATGCTGTAGGGTGATATGAGGGCTCCATAAACCCTTATTTCAGTATTTTGGAAAACATGGCCAACACTTTTTCACCAGAGAATTTGTTTTCCAGGGCCCATGTGAAATTGATGCCTTCACTGATTTCACTTTTTAAATGTGCTACTCTTTAGTGATTCCATTTTTAATGAATACATTCACTGTAGCAATGGCTCATTTCGGAACTTTTGCTTTTGCTGTTTTTCCCTCAAATGCTAAATATGTAAGAGAGAGCTCACACAAAGGAATTATTTGGCATTTAGCATCTTAAAGACTTTGTATCATAAATAATTTATATTAAGTAAAATTTATTCTATTTCTACTTGCCAGTGGGGTTGCCTTTCTGAGTTTCTTAACCTAAGATCAAATTCAGTTCCCACCCCTATGCTCATTCCGGTTATTTGCTGCAAGAGAAAATATTCAAGTGTGTATTGGTTGGTGCTGGAAGCTCTTCTAGTTTTTAAGAATAAACCACTGATATAACATGCTATTGAGATAATATGCAAGTGAACATTTGAGAATCTTAATCTTATTTTCCTTATTGGGTGGTGTTAGGTAAATCTGGAAGAGTTGGGTAACCATGAACCTAATTAGTTCCCAGATTATTACCCAAGATGAGGGCTGAGCCCAGGCCTGGCAAAGCCATCTCTTGTCCTAAGATTCCCTTTGTCACCCCTGCTAACCATCCAGGCCACTAAGGTTATGCCAAATTGCCTTGCAGCTGACTGTTGATCATGCAAAGCCAGAAGCAGCATTCAGGTTGCCTTGGTTTTACTTTGCTAATGACTACTCCAAACATTGTGCCTGTGATCTTGGCCATCAGCCTGCTGTTCAAATAGTAGTATTTACTTCCCAAATTATTTATTTTTAAAATAATAGCTCCAGTTTCTAAGAAGCACATGTATATTGAGAACTGAATCTGGGGCAACTCAGTTGGGGCAATTCCTGTGGGTGTAGAAGCAAATGGACACCTTCTAAGAGCTGCTATTCCATGGAGCAGCTCTGTCTTCCATCAGGAGAGAGAAAGGAGGGGAGAAGGGGACTCTGGTTGTAGGAGGAGGACTTGAGGGAAGGAGTGATAAGAGGCCCATAAATAGGACAGTCCTGGATCCAAGAGAATGAGAAGGGTCAAGGGAAAGCACAGAAACACAAGGATCCCAAGTGCCAGTCCTACTGCTATGAATGACTTGATAAGAACTGGTTTGAAAAACTCAGTTGAGAAGGATATCAAACATTTTCTTATCTTTCTTTTTGGGGATGCATCCAAAAGCCAAGAAGACTCACACTGAGGTTGACTATTGGTAAATCCATACTGGAGTAACAAATCCCTTTCCTTCCTCGTCACCCTTCTTACCTATGTAAGTCACGTCGACGTAACGTGGATCCGAGGAACTGCTTCCCATCTGGTTTGTGGCATTTATTGTGATGATGTACATTGTCCATATGGATGTGTGCTTCTTGTTGAAGTAACAGGAGTTGGGGCCACTGGTTATGTAGTCTGGGCATTCATGTGTGAGTGTCTCTCTGCAATGAGTAACAGATTAGCAGTGAATAAGAAAGTAGTAAAGAGTTTAGTCTTTTCCTGAATAGATCAATGACACTGGTTTTGGAGATTAGACCTTCCACATGCAAGAACCAGAGCTGAGGAACAGCTCCCCACACTTCTGTGTCCTGCCTGTGTCAGCTGGGGGTGAGACAGGGAAGAAGGGTGCTGGAGATGGTGGAAGGGTTACTTTACGTCCTCAATGACTCTGCTTCTCATCAAAACTTCTCTTCAACAGGTTTTTGTGGGCTTTGTCATATATGCCCCCTGCCAATAAACATTAAGCTCTCAACGGCCATGGTATTGCCGACCCAGGGACTTGCCACTGGTCATCTCAGGAACTGTGACTCTCCCCTGTATACACACACCAGGGACCATGCACAATGCAGCATTTATTGCACATATGTGTTGAATTATGTTTCATTAAAAAAAAAGATGAAAGAGGGTAAAAATTGCCATCAGCATATTTCCGATTGCACTAAGTCAGCAACAGAGTAACATGACTAAGGAGGGAGATATTTCAGGACCAGGTGGCTCATTAGGCTGCTTACATTTAGACTTCAGGGTCTCCAAGCAAGACACACCATGAAGTGTGAAGGCTTATTTTATTTTGGTTGCCAGTCTGAGTTCCTGAAATCTATTTACATGATACTCCTTTGGGTCCCAGAAGGGATGACAGCTTTGTGTACAACAATGTGCAATCCTTGGGATGTGGGCCAGCTGTCACAACCAGCAACTGTTTTCTTCACTGGGGAAGGATACAGCCCTCCTGGGCTTTCCAGGATGATTTCATTGTGAGTAAAACAAAATTCTCACACAGAGGTGACCTTGTTTAGCCCTCACAGCAACCTTAGCTCCAAATATGCCCTCTGGAAGATCAGAGATCGTGGATTGGCAAATGCTAAGGAAAAATCCTTACCTTCCTTCGCTTATAGGGCTCTTTACTTTCTTGGTCATGATACAAGTTTGAAAACCTAACTTACCGTGGTTGTTAACAATTGCATGATACTCCTCTGATATTGCAAAAGTAAAAATTATTAAAAAATTATAAACGGCACAAGGTTTACAGATAGGCATCTAAAATTAACTAGCATTAAGGAAAGATTCATATGTGACCTTGGGCCACAACCTGAGCTTGGGACAGACACTGGGGGTAATGTAGTATTGTATTGCTGGGGTGGCGGCTGAGCTCATGCTCATGGAGAGAGCTCCTCCAGGACATTACCAGGAAAATGTAGACATGGGCAGTGAAGTTCTTTTCTCCGGTGGCAGGGGCCTTCCTCGTGCCAATCCAGGGAAGGGTGGTAATTCTAACTTTGGGCCTGGAGACTGAGAGCAGTCGTGTGGGGCTTGATAGGAGAGAAGAGAACTTTTTACCCTTCCTTGTGGTAAGTCAGCGTGTAATTAGTGGGAAGTCCTCCATCATCCCCAGGCTTCCACCAGCAGGTGAATGTCTCCTTCTCAGGAGAACGACATTTAAGGATCTCAGGTTTTCCAGGAGGTGATTGTCCTAGAAAAAGCAAGAAGCCACTTAAGATTACGGTGCATTCAACCACTGGACCATCCTGCTGGTGACAGAAGCAGACTGATGAGACCAGGTGAGCGATGAGGCATGGGGTGCAGGGGCCTGGGGGTGCGGTGCTCTGAAATGCCAGGGTCAGCATCCCGCAACATTCCTCTAGGGGCTGCCTGATGTTGGCGGGACTGAAAGAGAGAATTTGTGTGTGTGTGTGTGTGTGTGTGTGTGTGTGTGTGTGTGTGTCCCCTGTGGGGTGGAGATGGCAACCAGCTAGGATGGGTGACTATAAAATTGCAACAGAGCACATACATCAAGAGTGAGGAGGACGCATGTGGACTGAAGAGCATGTGGCCCTTCTGCAATCCCAGGGTCCATGCAGCTGACAGCTTCCCATGGTGTAAGGGTGACTGTGAAAAGAATTCTGTCCCGGGCACAAGCATCCCATGGACACTTGGCTGACACGGGGCTCTCTGGCGCTTCTCCATCTGCTCATGCCATGGCCACACAATTAACTCAATCTGGAAACTTCTGTTCTTGCCCATCATCACCTACGCTCCGCCTTCAGCTGCTCTCCTCCCCTCCCTCATCTTCGCCTTTCCTTCCTGTTTCCCTCCGCATTTCGTTTCCATTTGACTTTGACCTCTGACCCAGGCTCACCGTCTAACTCCTCATTCTCCTGGCCCATTCCCAAGTCTTGTTTTTCAGTCCCTTTCGTCTTATAGTCCCCCCTTTCCCCCTCAGGTCTTTCTGTGGTGAAGCAGCAAAGGTCCTCTTGTAGTCCCGTGGCTCTTTTTGGGGTCGGAGGCATGGTACGAGGTGAGGGAGTGGGGGGCTGCTCTCCTGGTCACCAGCTGCCATGATGACCCAAGAGCTGTATCTAATCGCAGTTGGAAGCTAGAAGGGCTGAATGAGGTGACGTGGGAAATACAAGGTCAGGAGGATGGCGTTGAATTTTCAGTTGCTTAATCCCCAAAGCCCTCGGTGAGCTGGCCCCCTCTCCTCCTCCTCGTCTGTCAGGGCCAAAGAGGAAAAGAGTGGCCCTGGGAGTCTGCCTTGGGCTGCTGGGCCGGGAGCCCCTCGAGCCCGTCCACAGAAGCCCGGGCGGCCTTCCTGTTGTCCAGCCAGATGCCCAAGTGCCCAGCTGGGAGAGTCAGCCGCAGAGAGGAGAGGTGTCAGGAGGTGTGGGTCTCAGGAACTCATGTGGTGGGGGGTTCCCTCTGCCTTCTCTTATACTCCTCCCACCCCCCACCCCCACCCCGATGCTGGCTCCTAGGTCAGAACTTCTCTGCGAGCACCAGATCAGAGAGAGCAAGTTTGGAGGAGAACATGCAGGGGAAGAGGGGGGGCACCAGCCAGAACTGGCCAGGAAGGAGGAGTCCATGGAACGATATGACCCAGCGCCCAGGCTGGGCCCGAGGACACCGGGGCCGATGGTGTCAGAGGCGGCTCAGCCACCCTCTAGCTCCCGCCCCCAGGCCCACTGAAAACTCTCTAAAGAATCACAGGAAACCTTAAAACTCCATGCCAGCCAGCCCGGGGTTGGGTTGGCCAGTATTCGTAACATTCCTCTTTCTCCAGGGAAAATTTCTTGAGGATACTCTCACGAGATTGAAGTGATTTGTTTGTTGTGTTTTGTTGTGGCCGGGGACGAGCGTGTGGGGCAAAATGCAAAGTTTATTAAAAACACCCCCCAACCCTAGGGCTCAATGGTGAGCACACTCAGAAGCCAGTTAAGGCAACTGTTGATTATGTGAGTACATCAGGTTTCCCTATGGATTATACTGGAGCTCTGCTCTCTCTCTCTCTCTCTCTCTCTCTGGAAGCTTTTCTCTTTCACATGTCACTGGTTATTCACAGCACCTCTAGGAACCTCAAGAGAGGAGAGTGCAGTTGTGAAATTACAATTAGTCATATGTTCCCTTCAGTCACTTTAGCGGAGACGGTGAAAATTAATGGACTGTCTCCCTCTCCTTATAAAATGCACACGGGGGGACAACCACCTAGGTCCACACAGGCGCACACGTATGTTCACATAGAGCCGGGCTCACGAATGCACACACGCACAGCCCCCCTCCCCGTAGATGCAGCTGCATACACATAGAAGTACACGCGAGCACACACGTGGGAATACACACATACGTGGTGGCGCACACACAGATGTGTACTCATGCTGGTGTACGCAGAGGAGCCTTTGCAATCAGATACACGCAGGGAAGCAAATACACGCAGAAGTACACACAAAAGTTCTCCCACTCCAAAGTACCCAGAGGTGGGCACTCAGAAATAATCAAACACCAGCATGCACACTCCAGCCCTGAACTTCGTTTCTCCCATTAGCACAGATGCTAGAGTTAGCTATACCCTTCCCACCACACAACAGCAATCCCCTTTATCTCTTTACAGTGTTTCCAAGATTTTCCGCACACCTTCTTTCATGGGAGGTGCAGGGAGCATCGTTGTGCTCCCTTTGAAAATGTGGAAAGCCAGAGAGATTAGGTGATTGGCTCAAGGTCACGCATAGTAGGAAGCCGACAGAAGGGGGACCAAGCCTCAGGTCTGGTCATTCTGACAGCTGCTTCCCTGCACTCCCGGGGTGAGGCTGGAAGGCAGAGCTCCGGGATACACTTTTGCATTCACTGCATTCATTCTTTTGCACTCACTTTTGCATTAATTTCAATGCCCAAAATATTGCAAATAATAGCAGCGAATGACGTTTTCATGTCCTGTAACTGCAGCACAAGAGGACTATGTGGACTCGTCACCGTCTCGAGAAACACCCCAGGGTACTAAAGAGAGCAGGACAGTCTCTTTACTTACCATTCAGGAGACTGGTGGTGAGAAAAAGTAGCAAAATGAAAACAGTTCTGGATGCCACACTTTCCTTCATTTTGGCTCCTTTCTCTCTCTACCGGAAATGTTTCAGACGTTCACTGGAAGAGAAGGCACCAGGCGACTTTTGTGAAGTGACTGTCTGGCCAGGCACATGCACCACTGTCTTCTGGGTGTTTGCAACTGATCCTTGCTCCTTGCTTAATGTGAATGACAAAAGAGGAGGAAAGGAATGTAGGAAAATGTAACTTGGTTGGATGGCTTGGCTCAGAAGCATCCATGCACACATGCGAGGAGAAAGTCTGCCACCAGAGGTCATCAGATGACAACGTTCAAGGGCAGCCACGGGGCAGCCGCTCTGGCTCCCCGCTCCCATGCAGACCTCAAAGAAAAATTGTTCTCTTTCCACCCTGCGCTCGCCTAACAACATATCACCCATTTCATGTGACACAGATTGCATGTCCTACCAGAGATCCCTTCTGGGAGGACTTTGATCCGTTAGCCAAAAATAAGCCAGGCTGAAAAGTCAACACACTGGGTAAGTACCCTCAGGACGACTTCAATCTGGCCTCACTGATGTCAAGTCTTGGAGGTGGGGGGGGGGGGGTTGGGGCGGTTGGGTGGAGCTTCCTCTCCAAGTGTAGGCTGAGGAAGAAGTTTGCTGGGCTGTGGGCATACCTGCGAACCACACAGGGAACTCCAGCAAGCACGCTTTTGCTTTCTTCTCTTTCAAGAAATGACAAACCCCAGTAATTCAAGTTCCTTGGTTTGGGAGAATTAAGTCAATTTGAAACCTGCAGGGCTTGAGAGTTTGGGGCAATTTATTATTAATACTATTATTTTTACCCTTGGAACAAATTTCAAAGCCTCTAAATGTTCTTCTAAGAAAAAAACATTTTTGAAGACATTTGAAAAAGGTTCACTCGTCTTGTTGGATTCCAAAGAGCTCTCAGAAAACAACAAATTTGATGAACTAAGTGTAACTTCTTGGAAACATATGGCATACATTTTGTTTCAAATCTCAGGATTTTTATAAATCAAGGGAAGAACATGGAGCGGCTAAGGCAGCCCATTTTGAGACATTTGAAACGGCTGGGTGTTGTCTGACGAGCCCTGAGAACACCAGCCTTCGCCCGTCCCTCCGGGCCAGAGGTGGCTCCCCGTGTGCTAGCTGGACACCACCTCATGGACAGCTTCCAGAAGGCTCTCTCCACCTGCCACCACTTCCTCTGACACATACTTGCAAATGGAAATCTCAGTGACAACAGAGATTTGGGGCACCTTGGCACCATCAAGTGCTCTCTCTCTTTTAAAGATTTTATTTATTTATTCATGACAGTCACAGGCAGAGGGAGAAGCAGGCTCCATGCAGGGAGCCCGATGTGGGACTCGATCCCGGGACTCCAGGGTCACTCCAGGGCCGAAGGCAGGTGCTCAACCGCTGAGCCACCCAGGCGTCCCCATCAAGTGCTCTCTTATATTGGGGCTTTTGGTTTAGTAACGGCTACTGTGAGGAAGCCAGCATGCTCTTCTTTGGGGACATTCTAGTTGCTCTTCCAGGATTCCTTCCAAATGCCTCCCTCTCCCCAGACTGCACATTCTAAACCACCTGCCCCATCCAACCCCTTGGGTCATTCAATTTAAACCGAGTTGCTAAAGGCTCCCAGTAGGTATAACCATGCCCACCCTGTCTGGAGCACTAGCTGTGGGCCAGACACGGTGCTAAGTGTTCTCATCACTTGCATTTCATTTTTTTATCATGCAAAATAATATAATAATTGTATAACATACACTCAGACAGGTAATGAATCCTTAGCACTGAGATAAGAGTAGGGACGGAAATAAATTTAGGTGATTTTGACATAAAATACCAGATTCACATTTGATCTTCAGCATATAAAGCAGAAGGAATTCCGCACACCGTCTTTGCTATAACAGCGTTGGGAAGGAGGAGTTAAGATGCTGGATCATGGGTCCCTGAGCTTGTCTCATTCCTGGAACATGATAGGTAGTCATCGAATCATTCTGAACACGCATGAAATCACTCAGGGGTCTCACAGAACAAAAACTGCAAGTGCACATGTAGAAAATTGACCTCCTTTTGGGATGTAGGAGATGTGGATGTTGTCATGGGGAGATATAGCTGTGGTGATGAGGGCAGGAGGGAGGCTACTTCCAGAAGCTTTTGCAAAGTATTATGAGCAGCAGACAGGAAAATCTGAACTTTTAGATGTTTGCTTCCATGGGCATGTCCCTGGGTTAAAGATGCTCAGGTGGTAAATAGGGAGAAATCCCAGGATACTAATGTCATCACTTGCATTTCAGTTAGCTGTCACGGCAGCCCCTGAGTGGCACAGACTGTTACCTCCTGCCCCCCCCCCCCATTAACAGGTGCTGCTACTGAAGCCCAGAGAGGGTCAGCAAAGTCCCACGCCAACGGGAGAGAGAAATGCTGTGAATCCAAGAGCATCTGGGATCATCTTGACTTGCAGACGGTCTGTGATGGACGGTGCAAGGATTCCTCCTTCCGTGGCGGGGCGGGGTGGGGGGGGAGACAACAGCAACTACCCCGAGTGAGCAGCACGCAGGGCCCCGAGCAGGCGTGGAGTCGGGAGAGCCAGGGAGGGTTAAGGGTTACCCCAGCTGCCGGTCCCATGTGTGTTGGGGATCTCACAGACACTTGGCTCTCGCAAATCCGGCTGCATTCGGTCTATACAGCCCTGGGAGGCTTCTCTGTCTTGGCAATCCGATGATCTCCTCCTGGCTTGGGGATGGGATTTGGCCCACTGGCTGAGAAAGTTCTAGAATAACCTTTTTATTGAGACTTCTCTGCTTTTTTGGGCATGGCCTCACAACGCTCGAGATCAACATGCTGTAAATCATAATTTTTAGTCAAGGTCTGATGCTGCCCGGGCAGCTCTACAGACCAGGGCTGCATGTGTTTTGTAAAAGAAATGGCTAGATGGGGAAAGCAGGGTGGGGGTGGGTAGGAGCAGACATTGCCATTGCTCATATTTCCTGCTCTGCGGGCCCAGGCTCAAAGAAACTCTCTTAAATAAAGTTTTCCTACAAGAATGCTTTTAGGAAGTATTTTATGGGCTAAAAAACAAATGAAAACAAAAATCCATTTCCCCTAGGATCTCCTCAGCTATCCTAAAATCTGCTAATAGCCACCATGTACTTTCTGGGGCCTTGAAATCCTCGTGCCAGGGAATTAGACCTGGTGGTGGTGTTACTGTGTTTCAACAACGATTTCTCAACTCCTCTTGCATCTTATTCCCCAGCCGGTCAAACACAGTAGGGTAAGTAAACCTTCACAGAGAAAGGTAATCACAACTGCTAACTCCTAAGGGAGCTACGCTGAAGCTTAATGTTGGTCACGTATTGTGGTTTTTCCCAGAACTAGGCTTATCTCCTGCTTGTCCGCTAGCAGTTTTTATGGCTGGTGGATACGAGGCTAGGGATAAATTTGTTTTTTGTTTCTCATGAGCCTCCCCCTGGCTTCCCAGCCCCCACTGCAAGTGAGATCTTGATCAAGGGCCTCCTTATTGATCCCAGTTGGGGCTGGAACACCCAGAGGGTCCGTCCACAGCCTACTTTTAGTGATGGTTATGGGGGCAAATTGCTCCAGATATTTGGACTCCAATTAGGAAAAAGTCAGCCCCATACCTCAGTTCAAGGACACTTATCTTGGCTTCAGTCCCCACTAGCTCGCTGGAGGTGATTGTGGTTTAAAAATGCAAGATTCAGGACTGAAGAGCAGGTCTGTATGAAGTCAGCAGGCCCCATACCTTGTCCATGACAAGCTACCTTGCTTCTGAATCCTCAAAGACCCTCTCCCCAACTTTGTTACTCCCATTATCTTATTCAAACAAATCTTCCCACAATACTATGGCCCACTGTGGTACGATCTCCACAAAATCCTCCTTCCCCATTTTGCTTTGCATCAATGCTGATCCTGTCTAGGCTCTCTTTTCCAAAAGCTTCCCTTCATCACCCTCTTCCATTAAGCCAAGTCTTTTCTACATAGGCCAAGAGTTTAAAAAGGGAAATTTATGCCTCATAGCTTGCTTTTCTAAGAAATAAGAGCTATTCTTCTTGGATAGAAAATTAGGGCCACAGTCCCATGGTGGCTGCTGATTCTACTATCCATAGTGGAAAGGGCAAACCATAGGAGGGGAGGCAGTGTGGCTCCTGAGAGTTAAAAATCACAGATATGAGCTCCCAACATACCATTCCCCACTGTCTACCCACTAGTAGACCCACTGTGTACCCACCATCTGCAGATTCTGGCCCACCCAAGCCCTGAACCAATTCTGAATGGCATGGATCTTGGCTCTACCATTCTGTGGGATTTGCTCCCCAAACCTAAGTGAATGCAGTCCCCATCCTGACCTGACTCATCTGCCAATATTGCTCCAATATTCTAATCATATTTTTGACCCAGAAATGGATCCCTAGAGTCCCTTGACTCTAGAAATGGACCTAGCATGCTAGGCAGTGGCTCTGAGGACCTACCTAGCTATAGCAAGCTCAATTTCTGATGGATAAGTAGGGCCCAAGTCAACATTTGGATTTTTTTTATAGACCATCACACATAAGGCATGCACAAACTGTAGGTATTCTGTTTAATGAATTATTGCAAAGTGAATATGCTTGTGTTATGACCAACACAAAGAACACTAACAGCACCCCCAAAGTCGCCCTGGTGTCTCTTCCCAATCTCTACCCCCCAATAGAAACCATGCTTCTGACTTCTAACACCACAGATGACTTTTGCAAACTTTTGTACTTTATAGAAATGGAATCATTCAACATGCATTTTGTGAGTGTGGCTGACTTCCTTAATTCCACGTTGCTGTATGACTCATCTTTTTACATATAGTTTTACAAAATTCATTTTCACTTCATCTCATTTATCTCCATTCATATCATATTGAATGAAAGGCCATAATTTATTCATTCTACTCTTGATGGGCATTTGAGTAATTTCCAGGTTTTGGCAAACTATGGGTTTTGTTAAGACTAATCAAGGCTCAGATGGCAGGACAAATACTAGGTGATCCTTCTTATACATGGAATCTAAAAAAAATGTCTATCGCCTACCTATGTCTATAAAGCTAAACTTATAGATACAGAGAATAGATTGGCCAGAAGTGGAGGGATTGAGGACGTGGGGAAATGGGAAAACTGTGTGTGT